TTATAATAAAATATCAGATTCATTTTTATTCGATTACAAGCATATTGAGGGTTTATATAAGGTTCACATCTGGCTATGTGCATATTCACATGCATGTAAGGGATTTTCCAATCAGAGGAGTATGATGTATATCATATCACAGGAATCGTCCTAGCTCTCTATCAGTTTCATGACAGTTCTCAGACACTTCTTTAATGCTAGCTAGTCACCGAAATCATAAGATGAACAGCTAATCAGATTTCGGATTTTTTCTTTAGCCGGATAAGCATAATGAAAATTCAAAAAAATGATTATGAATAAAATACACGTGCTTGTCCGAGCTTGTCAAGCAGAAGCTGAATCAGCATTTGGTAAAATTTATCTCCTGAAATAGTCAATCGTTAAGGCACTTTGTAAGTCATTATACATGACTATCTGATGGTAGAATCTGGACACGGTGTCTGTGCTCGGCAAATTATTTTCCATGAAATTTGGCAATCAGTTATACACATTTAAAAAATAACCCCTGATATGAGCGGGATATGCAAATGCTTTATTATATGTTTGAGAATACACGTGAACGAAAATTTTGGTGGTAGAGTCTGGACACGGTGTCCGAGCTCGACTTAATTGCGCAGAAGAAATAGCGCAGTACCTTTTTTTCTCATAAATTCGAAAAAAGAAACACCTATCCCAGAAATGCAAAAAGAAAAATGCTTAGAATTTTTTTTCTTCTCAATAATTAGGCTATCTTCCGCAGTACCAAAAGCCGTTTTGGTAAATTATTTTCCGTGATGTTCGACAAAAAGTACTTTATATTACATTTAGTAGTGATTATTGACGCATCATGAATATAGAACACACTTTAAAATAAAACCTGATATGGTAATGCCTTATTAATATATGTTTGAAAATACATGTGAGCGAAATATTTTTTCTGATGGTAGAGTCTGGACATGGTGTCCGAGCTTGTCAAATTGCGCAGAAGAAACGGCACAGTACATTTATATCAAACCTACATTTACATAATCTTTTTCATCCTTAGTTAGATTTAAGATAAACGTAGAATTAAGTGTCACTTGTAGTGCGAGTGATATTTCTAGATTACTTAAAATTCAAAATATTATAGACGGAAAATTTGGGAAACCGTTACCATTGGTAACGATCTGAATCATGTGACTTTTGAAACGATTTCTCGCATATATATTACATGCAAAATAAGACGCCGATATGAGAAGATATACAAATGCTTCTTCGAAGCTATGCTTTTTCAGGGTGAAGCAGAAAAAAATTATAAAGCTATTTTATTCGAGAGTATTTTAAAAGTTATCACCCTGCAGGTTAAAGATCTAATTCATGCTATTTTTGATTTACCAATACTATATTGAAAAGCTTATAGACTTTCTCAGCCCTTTCCCTCGAGCCCTTCCCTACCATGATTGGGTTTTAACTTAAGTATAAAGCTTGTTTATAAGACTTCTCACGCTTAATGCAAATTTTTATTTGTGGCTTATTACAAATGGAGTGAAAAAATACAAAAGATTATACTACGAAAGACTATTAAACAATTTGCTTCAATGTTTAATGTTGAAATCGATTGTTGAAAATTTTACTAATACACCAGATTACAGCTCATACAGGATCTTTCCCTTTTCCCCTTCCTCTCCCTCTCCCCCTCCCTCTCCCCCTTCCCCTCCCTCTACTCACTTCACTATTCTCTTTTAATACTATTGGTAAGAATTGTGAAAAGGTAACAACTCTAGATCGTCCCGGTGTAACCCCAGTTGCATACTTGATTCTAGGCTTCACAATGCGTTGTTGACTTTCCCTTTCAAACTCCTTAAACTTCTCAATCTTTTTGATAATATTGTATCGTAAAACCAAGAGTGTTCGGATGAGTCTAGGTGCATGTTCTAGATTGGTGTTGGAAATTGGGATGGTGAGAGCTGGGATTGTAAACGGCGAAAAAAAGTACAAGCCGGGCCCAATGAATATTATTTGTCCAATCTCAACTTT